CAGATGGACCTCATAACCAACAAAGAAAATCTATCAGTATTTCTCTAATTATGACATGAGGGATTCAGATATGATGTCTTCATAGAACTTAACCAAAATTCCAGGATGATGAGCTATAATTCTACTTCAAATGACAAATGGTCCTAAGCTTATGACATGGGGTACATTCTAGGATTTTAGTGGGAGGACTGTTGCAACCCTTGTCACTAGCTCCTGGGCAGGGTGTGGTTGGATGGAGCTGTGTAAGGCAGTGATGGCATAAATCTGTTGCGGGTCAGCGGGGGACCTGCTGGCATTTGGGCTTACTCTTTTCTAGTGGGTCCAGGAGTTTGTCCAACCACAATCCTTTAACCACAGGAGAATATCTAGGCCTGTTCTGACACACAAAAATTTTTGTTTGGCAATTCAAAATTCTTCAGCACAAGAGCATACATTTATTTATAGTCATGTCTCTTGTTTCCTGGCCTCTCTCTCTCTTTCTCTCTCTCTCTCTATATATGTTTTATAATAAATAATTTTTTATTAAATAAAAACCTTGAGGAAGAAGTGAACTTGGCATTTGAGTAATGGCGCCCTGGCCATATCTGTCCTTCGTTTTCTGTCTTTCCTCTCCCTTTAAGCAGCTTTGGATCCTCTATAACTAGTTTTAATCCGCTCTAAGACTTTGAGTCAACTTCCTTTAAAAACCATTAAGCTATTCTCTAAAAGCTGAATCTTCTTTCTCTCCTCAAGTTAATACTTTTCTAGGAAGACAATCTACTTAGTCAAGTAAATATATTTTAATTTTTTAATTAGACAATGACAGTTTTTGAGACTTACTATGTGCAAGCACTATCGAGACACCAAAGATAACTAATTACTCATTGGTAGCTCACAGGGAAGTAAGTCCCCTGATACCAAACCTTGTCCAGAAGCAGGGTGGGAAGAGCCCAGAGCCTGGAGACAGCCCAGCCCTCACTATGGGGAGCTGAGGTGTCTAAGCAACGTAGCAACAAGTAAAAGGGTAGGACAGTTTCTGGAGGAAGAGTTGTAACTGTGTATGGGGGGGCATACTGGAGCACAGGCAGAGTGTGTGATGGGAAATGAGACCAGAGACTCTCACAGCAAAATCAACATGGCTCTCCTCCTCTTAAAAGTAAAGCAATAGTGTGAAATAAATGTGCTTCTACATTGTAGGCCCATTGTAGACATGTGCTTTTAGAGGAGTTCTGAATATCCTGATAGTAATGAAAGAAGTGAGCCCGGCATGGTGGTTCATGCCTGTAATCACAGTACTTTGGCATAGTGAGCCAGGAAGATCACTTGAAGCCAGGAGTTTGAGACCACCCTGAGCAACATACAAGACCTCATCTCTACTAAAAATTTTAAAATGTGTGGTGATATAGTGGCAGTGTATGCCTGTAGTCCCAGCTATGCGAGAAGCTGAGGCAGGAGGATCACTTGAGGCCAGGAAGTTCAATGCTGCAGGGAGCTATGATCCTACAGTTGCACTCCAGCCTGTCTAACAGAATAAGACCGTATGTCAGGGCTCAGCGCCTGTGGCTCAAGTGGCTAAGGCACCAGCCACATACACCTAAGGTGGCGGGTTCAAATCCCCAGCCCGGGCCCGCCAAACAGCAATGATGGCTGCAACCAAAAAATGGCCAGGCGTTGTGGTGGGCGCCTGTAGTCCCAGCTACTTGGGAGGCTGAGGCAGGAGACTCGCTTGAGCCCAGAAGTTGGAGGTTGCTGTGAGCGTGGTGCCATGGCACTCTACCCAGGGGGATAGCTTGAGGCTCCGTCTCAACAACAACAAAAAAAAAAAGACCGTATGTCAGAAAACAGAAAAGTCACCTATATGAGGGTTCTCTAGAGAAAGAAAACCAACAGGAAGGCTCTGCATCTATCTTCATCTGTGTGTATGGATATGTATAATAGAAGGAGATTTATTATAAGCAGGGGTCCTCAAACTTTTTAAACAGAGAGCCAGTTCACTGTCCCTCAGACTGTTGGAGGGCTGGACTGTGGGCCCGGGACGATTCGGCTGGTAAGCAAGACAGGTAGCAGTGGCAAAAACACCCAGTAGGCCAGATAAATGTTCTAGGCGGGCTGCATGTGGCCTGCAGGCTGTAGTTTGAGGACACCTGATCATAAGGATTTATTACATGATGGCTCATGTTATTATAGAGGCTGAGAAGGCCCAAGACCTGTGGTTGGCAAGCTGGAGTCCAGGAGAATTGATATTGTAGTTCCCAACTGAAAGTTGGAAGGCTTGAGAACCAAGAAGAGCCAGTGTTTTAGTTCATGTCCAAAGGCAGAAAAAGACTGATGTCCCAGCTCAACAGTTGGGCAGGAGAAATCCTTGATCTGGGTCAGCCTTTTTGTGCTGTCCAAGCTTCCAACGGATTGGATGAGGCCCACCCAATTGGGGAGAGCATCTGTTTTCCCCAGGCTATCAATTCAGATGTAGACCTCACCCAGACATACCCACACAAACATACCCAGCATACTGTTTGGCCAAATGTTTGGGTATCCTGTGGCCCAGTCACATTGACAAAATTAGCCATCATCCTCCCGCTCAGTCTTTCATCCAGAGATATTCTGCCAGGCTAATTATTAAATTGACAGCTCCCCACAACTCTTGTTTCTTTGAAATCCTCATGGTACCACAGAAATTATAGACAATATGATGTTATCATTGAAATATTGTCATCAATCTGTTTTGAGTATTTTTTGACATTATCTTCAGAATTGATAGCCAACTCATTATTGCAATTCAGAATATATTTCTATGTTCTGGTGGTTAAGGGCATGGCCCTAGTTTGGATTCCAGACTTGCTTCCTATAAACTGTGTGACTTTGGGTATCTAGCTTAACGTCTCTGTGCCTTTGTCCCTTCATTTGTAAAATGTAGGTAATAATAATACCTAATTCTCAGTTATGGTGAAGATTAAGTCAGTTAATGCACATCAGTAATACATGTGAAGGTGAAGGTGACGGGCATAGAATGGACTCCTGTAGCCCCCGGCCTTTTATTGCAAAATGCCTTAGCTCAGTATTACTCACGTATTGGTACTTTCTGAGGAAAGCATCCTTACAAGAGCAGTTAACATTGAATGTACTCAATTAGTGTCTACTTTGGAAAGACTAAAACCAAAATTTCAAAGCCTTAGTTGGCTTGAGAACAACCCAGATTTAGAAAATGAGTTAGGGAGGATGAAATAGAAAATAACACATTTATAGAATATGCACAGGCAGTGGAGTGTTTGATTCACTTCACTACTTTAATTTATTATAGTCAGAGAAGCTGTCCATATTTTAAATGGTTATTTGGCATCTCAAGAGGAAAAACATTTGCAAACAAACCAGTGTACTCCAAAAGTGGGCTGGGAAGGAGAAATGCTTAGTGATGCTAGCTGTGAGGCCTTGGGTTGTGAGTAGTGACAGGCAGATTGGTTGGGGCTGTGCTGTTTGGGTTTGAAGGGGTTCACCTGTCCAGTGGGAAAGCAGCCTTGGGTAACGCCGATTGGATTTAGGGCTCCTGAGCTTGTTGACAAAGCAACCAAAACACTCAGCTCTTTTTTTTTTCTCTTTATTTCTGATTGGTATTAACAACCACAACATTCAATAAATAAATTCATGTCTGCTTAGCTAAATTGTTCACATGATGTGAAATATAATTACAGGGTGATGGGTAAGGAAATCCTCTGATTCTCTGAGCTTAATCTTATGAGTGCCTCAGTGTCTTTAGGGAGGTCTTTACTTTTACAGCCTGTATTTATGTGAATAGTCTAGGAACCCACTACTGATTACAACGTAGAAGCTTTAGTCCATGCCTAGTGTTTGTATAACCTTCTTCTGCCAGGAATTCACAGGTGAAGGAATGCAGTGCCCATAGCACAGTATCTGTTTTGCTATAACATCTTTTTTTGGATGGTATATAAAGTATATCCTTAAGACTGTGCATTTCACCTCTATCCATAACACTGTTAAAAATGTAATTTTTCAGATTTCAACTTCCCATGTCTGAAATTAGTCTGTCAATGAAAGAAAACTCAGATCCAGCTCTTGGACATTGATTGTGTTTTTCCATTTTGATTGTTATCTTGGGAAAATTCTTCCTCTGACTCAAAGAGGAATGCTTTGCCCATTTATCAAGGGACTAAAGATAGCTGAGGATTAAGTCTGAATAGAGTGATTACGCCTTTCAAAAACCCAAATAATGAAAAGTATTTTTTTGTTGGTATTGTTGTTGTTGCCTGAACTACTTGATAGTTTTCCAATGGTGCTGCGCTTGTGAATTTCTTCCTTCCATCTTGTTCCTAACTTTAACATTTGTGTATGAATTTCTGTGCATTTCTAATACATTTTATTCTATGTCTTTGAAAGTTTCAGAGGAAATTTCATCGTGCCTCTATATTTGTATTGTTATTATCATCCAAAGCCATGGTTAAAGTGGCACAGACTCTTTTCAAATATTATTACAAAGTTTGATTTTTTTTAATCACAAGGCTATTATGATGAAGCCAGTTTTAGTCTATTATAAAAAGCCTGCACTGTTTCTTATTTGAGAGCTAAACTCAGAATGCACTGAGCTGTGCTGCCGTGTGTTTTCCATTATTCCTTTCTTTCAGAAACCGTGCCATTCATTTAATACTTCATTACAACCCAACTGCAGTATGTATACATGCCGTGCAAAATGAGCCATTTTGTTTTAAAACAGATTGCAGATGAAAGGGAACCACTCATTTCTTGCTTGCTTGCTGTAATTACTAGAGCACTAATTACTCCAAATCACTGACATCCAGGGTCAGTAAGGGTGACAACAGAAAAATCAAAGAAAAGATATGGCTCACTCGCTATGACAGATTTTTCTTAGTTCCAGCCACAGTATTTTTTATGGCTACTGTTTTCCAGTTTGATGTTGGAAAAAAAGAGAGAGAGAGAGAGAGAGAAACGAAACAAAACAAAACACAGCCACAGTGAAGATTGCTGAATGTTTACTATTATTTCATTCGCAGTTTGACGGTGAGAACATGTATATGAGCATGACAGAGCCGAGCCAGGACTATGTGCCAGCCAGCCAGGTGGGTTAATTAATCTTCTCTGCCTTGTTTCAAATTGTAATTAAACAAATTCAAAGAGTTGCATTGCAAATGAGTAGCACTATCAGTAACTGCCGCAATCAGGAATAATCATAATTTATAAACAAAGCATTTAAGCCTTGTTTCCAGTTAATGAGATAGAGCTGATAAAACCCAGAGTTGGCATTTGTTGAAAGACACTACCTTCTTTCCTCTCCAGAACGGCAAGCAGCTGTTTTGCCAGCATGATCTTTCCTAAACAGTTGTTTTACCTTTAGGAAATAAAGTCTTTACAGGTGCAGGGTATTTGTGCTTCTGACTGTAGACGAGTTAATCATTTTAAGCTACACATGTCACAAATAGCTTTAATTATCAACTGTTGGGGCCATTTTCAACAAAACGTTAAATTCATCACCCAAATCACATGGCAGGTGGGTGCTTTAAGGCTGCTATCAGTTCTAGTGGAGAGGCGGAAGAGGTGAGGGAGTGGGGAGGAACTTTCAGGCCCCAAAGCACAACATGATTGAAACTTTCAAGGGCACCTTTGTATCTATTTCACTGGGAATGGCTGACAAGGTATTTAATCATAAGAAGTGACCACAAAAGTCCAATGAGAATGTAAATGGTTGCATTTATAAAAAGTAAATGCTTGACTGTTTATTTTTAGATACTTAAGACCAGGCCCTTTAATCCAGTGAGGGCATTTAAGGTAAAATTATAACTGCCCTTGGGTGTCAGTATAACAAAATATAAGAGCACTGTATGGAAAAGGAAAACGGTGAATGTGCGGGAGAGTTCATAGGAGCATTTTGTTGACACAAACATCCCCCCCCCAGAACAGTGAAAGCATGGTAGTTTTGAGTTTTGCATATGGTATAAAATCTTAACATAGTAGTTTTCAATTCCTGCTTACCTGCCTACATAGAATTTGGTAATTAGAAAGGGTGTGGGAGTGGGCTTCTATTTTTCTGCAGAGTGATTGTCAGTGAGTTAAATCTAATGTGTATGTTAGGGATACACTGTGAATAAAACATCTCATCCTTAACTCAAACCAGAGGCAGGCCTGCATCTCCATGAACTTTGCACTTAGGAGACATTACGATCACAGGCTTCTCTGGCAGACATTCTGGAAACTACACTGTATTGTTCAGCCGAAAAGGTCATCGTAAAGTTCAAAGAACCTGACTGTATTTCCTTCCATTCAACAGAGGTGATTGCTCTAAGAATACCCCTGGAAGGCTGAGCTTTTCATTTAGAATTCTTAACTGAATTTATTTGGCTAAGTAGCCTCCAAGAGCCATAGGTAGTTCTGAATAGGACTGTTTGATTAAAAAATGAAAAATGTTACTATTAATTTTCTTCTAACCATCAATCCCAAAACTGTACTGACAAGTTTAGTATTACGATTAGATTAAAGAACCTGGTATCATCTCTTTGGTGCCGTTAGAGTTTTGAAGTGTAAGGGCTAATTGAATTTGTTTGAAACAGTAGAAACACAAACTCAATAAGTGATTGCTCTTATAAAGCCTCTGCTCCCTCTCAGAGAATCATTATGTCCCTCTTAAAGAGTTTTGGGTAAAGGATTGAAAGTTCAGAGCATATATATCGTAATGGCTTGACTCCTTAGATTTTAAAATTCAAGTTCAATGTATAAGGTGAAGCCCTTACTGAAATCAAGCATCTAACATTATTTTTCTTAATATTTCAGTCAGAAGTTAGTAAGATTGTTTTAAATGTTTTAAAAGTGATAATCTATAAAAAAGGAGCAAAGTGCTCTAACTACTTCTTGCATTTTCTAAAGACTGGCAGGTTTGTGAGCCAGGAGCAAACTATTCTTTTTGTAGTGTGGTATATACGAAAATGTTTTTAGAATGTGCTATTTTAAAAATTAGACTAATGAAACATAATACGCACTCTGGAGGAAGATAAACTTCACAAATTACATAAGCTTAATGGCCTCAGCTAAATTTTACACTTAACATTCCTTTTGTTTATTGTAATATAGAGTGTTCAAGAATTCATTACCTGGTATTCTTTTAGGGAATTTTAATCAATTTATCCCTTTAGGCGACCACAAATAAGATTTTAGTCATCCTGCAGGAAAAAAAAATTAGTTTTTTTCTTTTTCCTGCATAACATCAAACATCTGCATA